ACGAGCTTTTTAACTGCAACAACTTAAATATACGCTATGGGAGCTGGAATTACCGCGGCTGCTGGCACCAGACTTGCCCTCCAATGGATCCTCGTTAAGGGATTTAGATTGTACTCATTCCAATTACCAGACTCATAGAGCCCGGTATTGTTATTTATTGTCACTACCTCCCCGTATCAGGATTGGGTAATTTGCGCGCCTGCTGCCTTCCTTGGATGTGGTAGCCGTTTCTCAGGCTCCCTCTCCGGAATCGAACCCTAATTCTCCGTCACCCGTCACCACCATAGTAGGTGTTACAGGGGTTAATTTATAACCGAAATTTTCCCACCGTACGGCCTGATTTACGCACTAAATCAGTCAGCCCTCTCAACAATTCTTCACACAAACGTAAGGCACCATCGTTGTATCAAATGAACAGCAACAATCACAAGTATGCAGCGGAAATCGAACAACACAAGCAATTTACGAGCAACGCTCAACCTTTATTGAATCACTCACGAACAATACAAGGAAAGCCCTTGGTGCACACAAAGAATCCTCACAACAGATGCTATTGATTGCAATCTGAGTCCCTCTATCTGAATGAGTCGGATTTGTGCACTCTAGGGCTAATAAATACAAGTTACAATGCAGTTTACACACTAAACTGCCAAGGGACACATGGCGGCACGCAGGCCAGCCACTTGGCTCACTAATACAACATAAAGGGACGGTTTTCTAAGCCTTTGCTGATGCCAACCGCTCCGCAACTGCCTTCCTTAACTTCCCGAGTTAATTAGCTGCCCGGCTTGCCCAATCGGCGCTCACGAGCGCCCAAGGATCGAATCCGCCCGCACGCGTTTAATTCAGTCCGCTTGCCTTGCCAACACTTGCCATGCTTTTCTCGGCCAAGCACCTCAATGCTTGCCAATCACTCGAAACCCTTGCCTTGTATTTCTCGGCCAAGCACCTCAATACTTGCCCAACTCTCGGCCACCGTTCGGCCCATGTGTAGCTTGCCTTGTGCCAACACTTCTTGGCACCATTTCAACTATAACTCGGCCACACTCGAGTTATAGTCGATATCACCGACTAAGGGGGTAACAGACCTCCCCCACCAACGGTGTTCGACGCCCTCGTCGAACTGTTCACTCGTTTCAGATTTTCCCAATATCTTGCCAACTCGTCTTCAAACTGCCACAGGTTCACCGCCTTCTCCCAAGTAGCATCGGCCACCTCTGAATTTTTCCAATGAATTAAAAATTCAGTCCGCCGATTCCTCTTGCTTTGACCTTGGGTCTTGTGGTCAAGAATTTGCTGAATTTCTCTCTCAAATTCCTTTCGGACCACAGGTGGGGCTCTCTTCGTTTGCTTCCGACTTTCATCGAGCAAATCTTGGTTGAACTTCTTCAAAAAGCTCACATGAAACGTCGGATGCACTTTCAATCTGTCCGGCAACTTCAAACGATAGGCAACTCGACCAACTTTTGACACCACTTCAAAAGGACCGTCGTATTTCGGCACCAACCCACGGTGCACTGATTTGGAACTGATCTTCTTCCAAATTTGAGGCGTTAATTTCAGCAACACTTGATCACCAACCTGAAATTCCACGTCTCTTCGATGAGCATCAGCATACTTTTTCATCCTCGCTTGTGCTTTCATCAAACTATCCTTTGCCTCGTCTAGCAATTCTTGTCTAGCACGAGCAAAACGATAGGCAGCAGGACACTTCCCTCCGGTTCGCTGCAATGCCACCTCATGCGGCACCATTGGTTGCTGCCCGTACACCAACTCAAACGGGCTCATCCCCGTAGCTGAAGACTTGTGAAGATTGTAGCAGAATTGGGCTGTATCAAGCAAACCGACCCAATCTTTCTGACTCGCGCTAACATAATGCCGAAGATAGTCCTCCAACACGGCATTCATTCGCTCCGTCTGTCCATCCGTTTGGGGGTGATTTGCCGTAGAAAACTTCAATTCAGTCCCCAACATGTTGAATAGCGCGGTCCAGAAACGGCCCGTAAACCGAGTATCCCGATCGCTGATAATGTCTTCGGGAATACCAAAATACTTCACAACATTCTTCAAAAATAACTCAGCAGCTACTTCAGCCGGACAAGCCATCGGTGCAGCAATAAAAATCCCATACTTCGAGAAACGGTCAACGATCACAAAGATAGAAGCGTTACCGTTCACCTTCGGAAATCCCGACACAAAGTCCATCGATACCGACTGCCAAGGTCTCTCCGGAATGGGCAGAGGCTGCAATAGACCGGCCTCCTTCTTCTTCTCGGTCTTGTCTAGTTGGCAAACTAGACAAGTCTTGACGTATGCCTCAACGTCAAACTCCATCTTTGGCCAATAGTACGATCGTGCTAGAAGAGCCAACATTCTGTCAATTCCGGGATGACCAGCCCACGTCGGATCATGTGTTTCCCGCAATAGTTCACGTCTAAGGGAGCTGCTCGGCACATAAGCACGACCACCCTTAGCAAACAACAGCCCATCCTCTAGCCAATATTTTCGAATCTGCCCCGTCCGTACTTGCTCAGCCATCTTTTGGTAGACCAAATCAGTCTTGGCTACCTCTCGAACCCTTTCAAGAAAATCAGACTCCACACGAGTCAAGGCACCAACGTAGGATTCAACAACTTTCCTACTCAATGCATCAGCCACGTCGTTATGCTTTCCCGGTCGATGTACCCACTCAAAATCGAATTCCCCCAAGAATTCTTGCCATCTTGCTTGTTTCGGCGACAATTTCTTTTGAGTCTTGAAGTATGTGTTTGCCACATTGTCGGTGACAACCACAAACTTCGTACCCAACAAGTAATGCTTCCAAGCATCCAAACAATGCACCACGGCCGTCATTTCCTTCTCATGAGTACTGTACCGCATCTCAGCATCTTTCAGCTTTCTACTTTCAAAGGCAACGGGATGCTTGTCTTGCACCAACACACCCCCGATAGCACGGTCAGAAGCATCCGTTTGCAACTCAAACGGCTTGTCGAACTCCGGCAACTTCAGCACTGGTTCCGAAGATATTGCACCCTTCAATTTCTCAAACGAACCATCACAATCTGAAGTCCATTCCCACTTCTGATCCTTTTTCAACAGATCGGTCAAAGGATTCACGATCTTTGAATAGCCTTTGATAAACCTTCGATAATAGTTTGCCAAACCCAAAAACGAACGCAACTCAGCCACTTTCGAAGGTGCGGGCCAATCAGTCACAGCCCGTACCTTCTTCATATCCATCTTGATCTTTCCTTGGCTAATAATGTGGCCAAGGAACGAGATTTCTTCCCGGCAGAAATCACACTTCTCCTTCTTGGCATACAACTTGTACTCCCTCAACTTCAAGAATACAGCCCGCATATGCCCAACATGCTCATCCAATGATTCAGAATATACCACTATATCATCAAGATATACTACCACAAAACGATCGAGAAACTCATACAACACATCATTCATGAGGTTGCAGAAAGTTGCGGGAGCATTGGTTAAGCCGAAAGGCATAACCAAGAACTCGTATGATCCGTACCTCGTCACACAAGTTGTCTTTGCCTCATCCCCTTGTGCCACACGAACTTGCCAATATCCAGCCCGAAGATCAATCTTCGTGTAAAACCGTGCCCTCGCCAACTTGTCGAAAAGATCCAGCGCATTAGGAATAGGATACTTATTTTTGATAGTAACCTTATTCAATGCCCGATAGTCTACACACATCCTCATTGAACCGTCTTGCTTTTTCTGGAACAAAACCGGCGACCCATAAGGAGCTTTGGAAGGTTGCACGAGACCCGCACTCAGCAAATCGTCCAATTGCCTTCTGAGCTCAGCCAACTCCGAAGGACCCATCCGATACGGTGCTTGTGCTGGCGGCCTGGCCCCCGGTTCCAACTCGATCTTATGGTCAATGGCTCGCCGAGGCGGCAACTCTCTCGGTAATTCAGGAGGCATCACATCCTCGAATTCAGCCAGCAATTCAGCAACTACATCCGGCACTTCTTGGTATACATCCGGCTTGATTTCGACCAATGCAGCCAGGCAGGTTGGCTCGCCATGTCTTAAACCTGCCTTTAGTTGCAATGCCGACAATAAGCCCTCAGATTTCTTCTCTTTGGCCTTCTCTACAAACTTTCCCTTCACGAAACATGGACAACTAGGATCCATGAACAGCAATCCACTCAGGAAAGGTATGACACCAACACGGGCCGACAACAGAAAGTCTTGCCCCAAAATCACGTCAAAATCGTCTAATGGTACAGCAGTAAATGAACATTGTCCACGCCACGGACCGATGCACAACTCTACATTGGTCACTCCCCTCACCGGCTTGGCTTCTGAATTCACGGCTTTCATTCTACTCGCATGTTGTGAGAGATTCAGATCCAGCTTTCCAATCTCTCGAACGGCAACAAAGTTGTGCGTTGCACCCGAATCCACCATGGCCATCACTTTCTTCCCGTTCAGCAAGGTTTCGACATACATCAAACCTTTGGGGTTGCTAGGTACCTTCTCGACCGTCAAGGCACTCAGCAACTGGATGGGATTGACTTGCTTAGGGTCATCACTATCTCCATCCGATTCCAGCATCAAAGCATTCAGTTTGCTTCGTTTAGGGCAGTCCCTCATTCGATGATCACCGTTACACAAGAAACAGCCTTTGTTTTCTTTGTTAACGGTCAATTGCCCCGCGGGTTTGGTCGTTCCCGTAGGCTTCTCGAAATTCTTCTTGGCCTTGAACTTCCCATCTCGGCCAAACTTTCCACCCGACTTCTTGGTCTTGCCCTTATCCTTGCCGGATTCCTTCTTTTCAGCATCCTTGGCACCAACCGTCTTGTAATCAACAAGGCGATCTGCAGCGGCAATTGCTCCCGGCAGATCCTTCACGCCTTGTCTTCGCAACTCAGATTGTGCCCAAGGTTGCAAACCAGCCATGAAGTTAAAGATCTTGTCCTCCTCCGACATATCCCTAATGTCAAGCATCAAGGAACTGAAGTCCTTCACGTACTCACGAACGGACCCCTTATGCTTCAATTGACGTAGGGATTCCCTTGCCAACCAACTCGTGTTGCAAGGGAGGAATTGTTCTTTCAACTCCTTCTTCAACGTTTCCCAGGTTTCAATTTTGTCCCGATTGGCACTAGCATCGTCGGAAAGACGTGCTCGCCACCATAACTTCGCATCACCCGACAAGTACATGCTCGTAATGGTCACCTTCTCTTGATCGGACACGTTTGCTGCCTGGAAATAGTTCTCCATGTCCCAAAGGAAGTTTTCTAACTCCTTTGCGCTACGTGCACCACCAAACGTAGCGGGTTCAGGCACCCGTACTTTGGACGACGACGATCTGCCCTCAACAGCACTCGACGTCCCCTCACGAATCGCCCGCTTCACCACAGCCAAATCCGTCAAAAACGTGTCAAACTTGGCCTCAACCGCATCACTTAGCAACCCGAGATCTTCAGCAGCGCTTGCCATCCTAGTCTCCACGAATTCCGGCAGATCGGCTATAGATTTAGATAGCCGTTCGAACGCTTGTTGCCCATCAACAAGTTGTTGGAGAATAGGGGCTGCTCTCAGATCAACGGGCGGCCCAACAAGAGTCTCAAGACGTTGCAATCTCGCTTCCAAATCGAGCAACGCTGCTCGTGTAGGATTCATCATTGAGGAAGAACCCGAATCTTCCATGTCGAAGAACACCGTTCAGAACCCGAGAACCTGGCTCTGATACCAACTGTTACAGGGGTTAATTTATAACCGAAATTTTCCCACCGTACGGCCTGATTTACGCACTAAATCAGTCAGCCCTCTCAACAATTCTTCACACAAACGTAAGGCACCATCGTTGTATCAAATGAACAGCAACAATCACAAGTATGCAGCGGAAATCGAACAACACAAGCAATTTACGAGCAACGCTCAACCTTTATTGAATCACTCACGAACAATACAAGGAAAGCCCTTGGTGCACACAAAGAATCCTCACAACAGATGCTATTGATTGCAATCTGAGTCCCTCTATCTGAATGAGTCGGATTTGTGCACTCTAGGGCTAATAAATACAAGTTACAATGCAGTTTACACACTAAACTGCCAAGGGACACATGGCGGCACGCAGGCCAGCCACTTGGCTCACTAATACAACATAAAGGGACGGTTTTCTAAGCCTTTGCTGATGCCAACCGCTCCGCAACTGCCTTCCTTAACTTCCCGAGTTAATTAGCTGCCCGGCTTGCCCAATCGGCGCTCACGAGCGCCCAAGGATCGAATCCGCCCGCACGCGTTTAATTCAGTCCGCTTGCCTTGCCAACACTTGCCATGCTTTTCTCGGCCAAGCACCTCAATGCTTGCCAATCACTCGAAACCCTTGCCTTGTATTTCTCGGCCAAGCACCTCAATACTTGCCCAACTCTCGGCCACCGTTCGGCCCATGTGTAGCTTGCCTTGTGCCAACACTTCTTGGCACCATTTCAACTATAACTCGGCCACACTCGAGTTATAGTCGATATCACCGACTAAGGGGGTAACAGTAGGCCACTATCCTACCATCGAAAGTTGATAGGGCAGAAATTTGAATGATGCGTCGCCGGCACGAGGGCCGTGCGATCCGTCGAGTTATCATGAATCATCGCAACGACGGGCAGAGCCCGTGTCGACCTTTTATCTAATAAATGCATCCCTTCCAGAAGTCGGGGTTTGTTGCACGTATTAGCTCTAGAATTACTACGGTTATCCGAGTAGCAGGTACCATCAAACAAACTATAACTGATTTAATGAGCCATTCGCAGTTTCACAGTCTGAATTAGTTCATACTTACACATGCATGGCTTAATCTTTGAGACAAGCATATGACTACTGGCAGGATCAACCAGGTAGCATTCCTTACCGACACCGGCACCGCGCGATGCAAGCCACAAGGACTCGATCGCGACGGCGACGGTCGTCGTTCGCATAGAGCGTGAAACGCATTTTCTTGGGGTAAATAGAGGGCCAACGCCTCGTACCCACTCAATTTTCCGCATCCGAGAGATCGAGCGTGCCGCCGTGCGCCAACAACCCGGGGACAGTTACGTCTGGGATGTGGAACACGACGGATGCTTCATGGTCCATCCCACGTTGAAAAGGATGCAACGCAAGACGAAACGGGGCACTTTTAACCGACACGATACCAACACGATAGGTACGCAGCACAGGAAACCGACACCGATCAAGGCACACTTGAACCGACAATTGAAGAGGCGCGCACAAGTTGCCGTCGCTGCCCGAGCAGGGATCCGACAAGCCCGTGCGCACCAAGCACCACTCACGCGCCTGCCGTACGCAATGCCCGAGAAGGCGCATCGTTGTCCGACCAAAAGCAATGCAAGAGCACAGCACTGGACAAACAACAACAAGCCCACCCGAGCATATGCCCGTCGAGCACGATGCAAGCCCACTTTTCTTTGCGGTGTTCACCACCACCCACTTATTTGCACCACCACCCACTTGCGCGGTCTTATTTGCACCGCCACCCACTTATGTGGTCTTATTTGCACCACCACCCACTTATGTGGTCTTATTCCGAGGAACATTCCATCACCGAGTGAGTCCGAGCGAAACATTCCAACGGGCACCGACAACATGCATTCGTGAATATCCAACCTTGAGTAGTGGCTCGAGCGAAACTTCCAATGAGCACCGCAACATTCAGGTG